TTTTTTTTTTGCTATTTTTAACCATATTTTTCTTTGATTATTTTCAGATATTTTTTTTTCCCTATTTTTCTCTGATTTTTTTTTTGAAGCTTATAAATTGGTTCCGTCCATTTTTTTTTCGTCTCTTTTGCAAACTGCTTATCACAGGCTGTTCTTTGACCATTCGATAGTTTGTAATAATTTGTAAAGGTGGTTCGCTATATAGGTTTCGCAGTAAATATTTTTAAGTCGGAGGCATTTCAGTTTTTCTTATTTTTTTTTTCTTTTTCTTTTCGCCGTAGTCTCTTAGTCAAGTCATATGGAAATGCTTGGATATGTATCTCAACCTTCTGGCTTATAATAACTTTTTAGTAGTGGCAGATATTCTTTCGAATGATTCCATCAGGGCCCTGGTCTACTGCTGTTGTTATCGCTACAAGCTGCCTAGCTATTTCAACATTTTACTTTGAATCCTTGGACTTTATTAAGAAAATGAAAAAATTTTTTTTGGTTTTTTGTGGCTAAAATCTCCTCTGTATAAGAACTTCTTTTCCATACTTTTAACTTAAAATGAATGAAGTTTTTTTTTCATTTGTTTTCTTTTTTTCTAATTCATCTGGACCATAAATTTTGCGCGGCATCCGTTGACAAGCGAAAAGTTTGAATTGGCGCTTTTTCGTCGGCCTTTTTCGTTTGTCATTTTGCCAAGTCATTGTGAAGAGGTCGTTAACGGTGAAATGCAGTGTGCTGTGTGAATGGCAAGTGACCGGCGCTGCAGTTGTTGTTGTTATTATTATTTTTGTTGTTGTTGTTCCCCTTCTCCTTCAACTTTTCCTTCTTCGTACACATTATATGCACACTTTCGGTCGGGGCCCTACGCGTGCGCATTTGGTATGTGTTTCTGTTTTGTATGAGATCTAAAAATAGGAGAAAATTTTGGCGACGGAAACCAATTTTTTTCTCTGTTTTCGCCTGAGTTTCTCAAAATGTGATTAAAGTTTTTGAGGCTTTGATGCCTCAGAAGTTGTCTTGCTAGCAGATACTTACAGATAACAGTTTTTTAGTGAATAAAAAACTTGTTGTTTGTAAATAGTTCATAGTGGTCCTACCGATGGTAGGTACTTATAGTAGTTTTATCGATGATTTGTTCCGTCTCAGTGCTTATCTTTTTTTTTCATCAAATTTTAATTTTTTTTACACAGTATACGTTTCGGCAGTTTAGACATCGATCCCCTGAAATCTTTTATTGTTTAGTAGGTCCAGTTATTTTTTCTCGCATCAGATACGTATCCTTGAGTCTCACGTTGTTTGAGTCACATTTTTGAAAAAAACACTACAGCGGTGCTACAGTATTTACTTTTTTTTGACTTTATTTTGTTTTATTTACTTATTCATTTTGTTTTTGTAAAGTTTTGTTGCAGTGTTAATTCAACTACGTTGTTTACTCAGAATTGTTGACAGAACGAAATAACAAATTTTGATGACTTTTTTTTTTTTTTTTGTGTGTGTGTGTGTAAGGTTTAAATGCTGTTCTACAAAACTACTGTTTTGAGTTGCTACCTTCAAGTTTTTTGTCCTCGTTGTGACATCATTACTGAAAAATATTAGTTTTTGTTCTATTGTTTTCTTTTTTGTTTAGGTCGGAGGATACGTCGTCTTTCAATCTAGAAAATATTTTTGGTTTACAGTGCGATGAATCTGTAAAGAGTGAAGTGCCGTTAATAGCAAATAGCTGTGATAACAACGCTGCTTCTGATTCTGCAAGTCAGAAAGCGTCAACAGCTGGAAGTGGTGAGAGCTTTGTGGCTTTGTGGTGGTTTCAGTTCTTTCAGTAAGTGACTTCAGAAAGCATTGTGATTCTTTAGAGGTAGAGATGGCTTCTCCGTCTGCGGCTTCTCATGCGTCTACGGATTCTGTGGAGTCGTCTAATAACGCTGCAAATAGTTCAGAAAGTGCTGCGCAACAGTCTTCTACCTCTGACTGTTTTAGTATGCGTTTTATTTAGTAATGGTTTTTTCTAGTCGTTTTGTTTATTATTTCTTCATCATATTTGGTTTTGCTTATTTTATTTTGGTAGCGTTTTATCTTGTTTCGTACGGGGAGGTTTTATAGCGCCTTGCACCTCGAGGACTACGGAATTCATAGATCTTATAAATGCCGCATTTTCTGACTCAATGCAGAAGAAGAGTGATGATGCCCTTGAAAAGTTGCGACAAGCTGTAGAATTAAAGGAAGCTTTTGAAATTGGTATATTTTGTGACACTTTGTCTCTTGTACTGGGATTTTGCTTTCACTTTTTCGAGTGTTATTATTCGAGAAAGTACTCAAAAATTTTTTATTTTCTGCAAAGCTTACTTACTGAAATTTTTGTAGATGACGTTTCACTGATTGATAATGTGTTCTCTGCACAGCTAGTGAAGTCGAATGATGATCAAAGGTTACTGCTTTGTGAGGAGTGGATCAATTTGCTTGCGAAGATTCCACCAACTGCCAATGCAAGGTGGATGACGCACTACCAGTTTAGCATATATTACTGCTTTCATATGGTAGGAGCTATTATCCTTTTAAAAAAAATTTGTTATGGTTTATTTTTCGTCGAAAAAACTCACGAATTTTTGGTAACTTTGCCGCGATAGGAAATAATCTTTAAAATGTTGGAGTTATTTGTTCAGATTGCGCTCGTAACAAGCAGATTGAAAAACCCCGCTGAAAAGAAGCGTTTTTATGATCTCTCGCAAGAAGTTTTCAAGTAAACTTTCTTTGTTTTAGTTTTGAAACTTTTTTCAGCGCAACTGTAAGTTTAAAAGAAAAGTGTTTTGCTGTGTAAGTATGCATTTCTTCATTGTAGGAAAAAAAGGTGGTTTTAGACAATAAGGTGTAATTCATGAATTCAATTTTAGAGGGCTTCTTGCGTTAACTTGTAACATTCACGATCCTTCAGAAGACGTAATGTCAACTAAGTTAGATATACTGCTCAGTCTTTCTTTCATTTGCTCGCAGTACTACGATGTATGTGACGAAAGTTCTGCAACTTATGTGGAGGTATTTTTTGCAATAGTTCCTTTAAACCAGTCTGTTCTTTTAGTTGACAAGATGACAAGAAGCTAATTTTGTTAAATTAAAAGATTTTTTTTCTTGTATCTTAAAATTGCAGAACGAATTAAAGCCACTGAAAGATTCGTTTGCCGATTGTAATTTCGCTGCTGATGTGGCTGCTGTGTTGGTACAGAAAATGTGCAGAATTGAAAGCAATTTGGAAGAGTTCAAATGGTCTTACTCTAGGAAATGATGTTTTTTCTTGGAACTTATGTGTCTTTCTTTTTGTTTTGTAAATATGGCGTTACAGTGGGTCGTAAAATTCAACTTGTTTTGACTCGGTACTCTTGGTGCTGTACTTTTTGTAAGAAATGTGTTATTTTTGATGTTGTCAATAACATTTATCTTCTCTTTTCTCATTGTTCGGTCTATAGTGTTTTAACTGAATTAATTCTTAAGCTTTGATATGAAAAGTTTATGTTTTGGATTCCTTGCTTTTGCTGCCAATTATGTGGTATTGTATTTTGTATAACGACCTGTCATAATACCAAGTTCGCTGATGAGTTAGATTTGCGTTTTTCTAATGAAGCTGTGGACTTCCTCGTGTAAAATGAGGAACATTTGAGAAAGGTTGGTGGGTGGTTTCCGGGTTTTTTTGGTTATATCATTTATAGTGTAAACCAGCGGGTCATGTGAGTAATTTTTGAAACTGTTAAAGTTGCTATTCGTATCCTTTATTCAAAGAGATTGGAGCAGTTGCACATGTTTGTTGCTGACAAAAGAAGGTATTGATGATGGTAGAGCAGATTAGCGATGCCACAAATAAAAAAAGATGGTATTTTAGCATATTTTTTTAGTGTACAAGTTTGTTTGTTGCTGGGCAGTTCTTCATGATATGCCGGTTAATGATAAGCCGTTGTTTTGTATGGCGTGGTTGCCGGTCGAAGGGGATCCGGTATCGGAGTCACTTTTAGGGTGGTTGTTGTCTGTTCTGAGGTCGACATCTGACGCGCTACCTTCTTTTATTCGGCGTTGTTTCTCATGTTTCCGGTATTTTGCTCGACGGTTTTGGAACCAGACCTGATTCAGTCGTGTAACTGATACTTGCACAACCTTTCAGGGTTTTTTTGTGACCAGTCTTAGCTAGGTTTGATGGACAGTGAAATGTTTTACCTGCACACGGGCTTCAGTAAGGTCAATGCGCATGGCTATATCTTCTCTTGTATATATATCTGGATAATGGGTCTCTAGAAATGCTCGTTCTAATTCTTTCAATTGTCCAGTGGTAAAAGTTGTGCGGATCCGTCTTTGCTTTCGCCTTTCGGAAGGGTTTCCACTCCCACATATAGCGCCTTGAAATAATTTAGATCATCTTTGAGTTCACAATATTTGTCCCTTACTTTTAAAGTTTTATTTTTGAAATGCTTAAATTTAGCGCGTTAGTCATACCGACAAGGGATGGTCCGGGTATACCAGCCATTAAACTTGCAGATGTTGAACGTACTGCATTTGTTCCAGGTAAAAGTGTGGCTTGATTTTGGTACAGTTTGTATGGAAGGCCTTTAGAATATAATGTTCGTTTTTTACAATACAGAATTTTGAAAAATTAATTCGAACGTGTGTCAGCATAAGTGCTATACCTGACTGAAAGAACGCTTGAAGTGAGCCAGTCGGCCGGTAAACCTGTGAGTTATTTGTTCCTATGGTTCCCGATGATGATGTTGTCGCATTCATAGTCGATGGAATTATAGCATGATGACCATTACCAAGACTTCTATAATTAAATGTGTAGAATTAAGTCTCGTTATTTTATCATTATCAGATTTGTTATTTTTGTAAATTTACGTTTATTCACTATAATTTATGGTACGTGATTGGCGAAACAAACCGGGCAGAGCCAGCTAAAGGTCCATAGGTATTTGCATATTGTCCATACAGTTGTTGTTGTTGTACATGATTGCCGCAGGATATCCCGTTTCCGGGGTTCGAACTAGTTCCAAAACTTAAGCCAGGATTTAGACTGAAAGGATTAACGCCGTGTGTCACGTCATTTCTGTCACCGGATTGAGCAGTGAAATAACCACCGTAATCCATCATATCTAAAAGTTAGATAGACTGAGTTTCCTTTGGCTCTACCAAATAGATGAAGTTGATTTTAGTATAGACTTTGAAACAGTTTAGTGTAGTATGCAACAGTTCGTAATATTTGAATACTGAAAAAATAACGGGCATATATGGTAATTAAAACACATGATATATGTTGATGCTTATTTTGTGTTGTTTTGCTGGTGTTCTTTGAGAAATTCTCTTAGCTTTTGTTTTCCAAATAGCAACCTAAAAAAGAAGATTTTTTTTTTTTTGAGGGGATGGAAGGGGGTCATTGGTCAAGCAGTAATTTTTTTGGTGTTATATGTAGAAAGATGACTAGATAAATTTTTTTCTGAAGTCAATAGAAAAAGTTCTTAAGATGATGTGTTTTAAATAAAAAACCTTTTTTTAGATGATGAATTATGAAAAATTAAAAATTGTCAAGTATTTGCTAGTTGAAAAATTTCAAGCAAAATAAAAGATTAGTGCTCAATGGTTGGAGCAAAGGATTCAGTTTTGTAGAAGGAATAGAACAGACATCAATTAGATCAGTTGGTACCATTACTGTTCAGATTATTTTTTGTTCTTTAAGATTTAGTAAAGTTAAAAGAACAACAGTAAAAATTTATTGTTATTCAGCGATGATGTTTTTTTGTACAAAATTGTAACTGTGATTTGAAAAAAAAAAAAAAAAAATTGATTAAATAAACTGTTCAAAAAAAATTTTTTGAAATTATTTATGCTGTTATTTATGATGCTGTATTTAGGAAAAAAAATTAGATAGTTTAGTAAAACAACAAAGATTATATTCTTCTTCTTCAGTTGGGATGATTTAAAATTTATACTGTTTTAAGAAACTGTGTAGCATTTTACAGTATGTTGAGGAAAAAATTTCTTCAGGTTTTGGATATCAGAAAAAAAATTTTTTTTTATAGTTAATGGATTGCAGTAAAAGTAAAATTTAAAAAACATTAATAATTGAGAATAAATATCAATCAAATTTAATAGGTATAAAATCAACAATTAATTTTTGAGCAAAAAAAAAAAAACAAAGAATAGAGATTAAGTGAAGGAAGAAACAAAAATAAAATAAAAGCAAATTTTCTTTTTCTTTTCTAGTTAACTTTATTGTTATATACAAATAAGTCAATTGAATTCAGTAAGTAATGAGATGTCAAAAAAGAATGGGCAAAAGAGAGAAAACAAAAAAAAAATTATTTCTAATTAAAATAACTTAGTTTCTTCTTTTTTTTTTCTTTTGTTGCCTTTTTTGTTGTTGTTGTGGTTGTTAGAAATAAACTTTATCAGCAGTTAATAAAAAAATTAAGTAAAAATAAAACAATGAAAGTGAAAGGCAGAATAACAGCAAAAACAGTAATATAATAAATATTTCGTTGAAACGGAAAAAGGATAGTGAAGAAGAAGAAGAAAATTATGTAAGGCAAAAAAAAAAATGAATTATATACAGTTGTTTAATGGATAACCAAAAAGTGTGGAAGAGATGGGGTGAAAATGTTTTGGACAAAGAAAAGGAAGAAGTAATTTTTTTCATCTTTTTTTTTTTTTTTTTTTTT